ATTTGCTGTGCCCGTGTTTCAAAATGGCAGAGCAGCACTTTAACTTCAGCTCTTCAAAGAAGCTTTGTTAAAACCCCCCCACAGCCATTAAGAAGCATGGGATGCTAAATACATGTGATACTGTGGGTGCTTTAATTACAGTGGCTCTCAGAGCCATACTAGTTAAAGCACTCCTCTCCCCACCCCAGAGGCCCCTAGGACTTTTTCAACAGTGTTTCACATTTACCTCCAGCCGCCACCCAGAACCTTGGTAAAATAACTTAAAAATGTGTGTTGTCATTTAAAGCAACCTGCTCACTCGCTAGCAAATGTTAAAACAAGTTTATTACAAGGGAAAAGGGGAACAGTGGGACTGCCTAAGCAAAACCTTAACTATTAATCTAGCTCAAAACAGATCACAGTCAGAGTCAGTGGTAAACCAACCTGTGGAGCTCCCTCCTAGCCAAGTCACTTTGGAAGGAAGTCTTACCCCTGGCTGCCATCCAGGGACTCTACTACTTGAGGTGCAAAAGAAATTCCTTACTCGACTCGGTATACTTAGTGCAGTAGGCATGGGGGGCTGCCAGTTAGCAGCCTGGCATGAAGAAATCGCACTCTGGGCTGGGCAAGACTGTGGTCAGGAGTGTCCAGGAGAGTCCCCCAGTGCCAAAGAGGCATAGTGTGGGTGGCCCCAAAAGGACTTGCAATCATAATCTCAGGCCAAAACCCAATTCCTTATTCAAGCCATTATACTTAACACTAGCAAATTGCCTGTCAGGGATGACCAGGGGGATTCCATATACTGAGCACAGTGGCTGGGGTGCTGTCAGTTGGCAGTCTGGCACGGCCAAACTGGCGCTTTGGGCAAGGCAAATCTCTGGTCAGAGATGTCTAGGACAGTCCCCTGGTACCACAGAGGCATGGCGCAGGATGGCCAAGGAGGAATTGTAGCTATAATCCCAGCCCAAAATCCAGTTCCTTATGTGGGTCCAAATACTTAGCACAGTGGCTGGGGTGCTGTCAGTTGCCAGCTTGGCATGCTCAAATGGCGCTTTGGGCTGAGCCAGCCTCTGGTCAAGAGATTTCCAGCAGTCCCCTGGTAGCTCAGAGATGTGGTCTGGGGTGGCTTATGACATATTTCTAGGTATGACCCTAGTCCAAAATCCAGTTCCTTGTTCAGGTGTACAGTGGCTGGAGTGCTGTCTGTTGCCAGTCTGGCATGGCCAAACCGTGCTTTGGGCCAGTCATGTCTCTGGTCAGAGATGTCCAGGAGTGTCCCCCGGTGCCACAGAGGCATGGCACGGTTTGGTTTAAGAAGGATTTCTTGCTATAACGCCAGCCCATAATCGAGTTCCTTATTCAGGTCTATATACTTAGCATAGTGGCTAGGGTGCCGTCAGTTGGCAGCCTACCATAGCCAAACTCTGCTATGGGCCAGGCAAGTCTCATCAGAGATGTCCCCTGGTGGCACAGAGATGTGTTCTGGCGTGGCCAAAGAAGGATTTCTAGCTATAGTCCCAGCCCAAACCCAGTTCCTTATTCAAGCCATTATATTTAGTACAGTGGACATGGGGCTGTCAGTTGGCAGCCTGGCACAGCCAAACCTTGCTTTGGACCAGGCAGGAGTGTGGTCAGGGTTCTTTGGGACAGTCCCCCGGTGGCATCGACAAATTTTTGGGCGGCCCAAGAAGTATTTTGTCCCATAATCCCACCCTAGCTTGGCCTTAATTTAGGGCTCTGTACTTGATGTGAGATATTATTTTACATATTAATTAGTCTATCTGGCTATCTAATTAAATTCTCTCTTTCGGACGTGTAATTCATCAATAACAACCTTTTATTGTGTCCAGATTTGCTTTTGAAAAAGGAACCGGGAATAAGGAATAAAGAACTGGAAATAAGCAACCAACTTCAGCCTCATTATTGGGTCCCAGTCACCACAGGGTAATAGAGCCAAGGCCACAAGTATTGAGAATTTGGGGCTAAATTGTCCCTCAGTTTAAGTTGGTTGAAGTGCTTTGAATCAGGAAGTCTCTCAGGACATATCCACTTGTGAGAGTCTCCCCTCTTTCCACAGCCCAGTCAGACTCGGGAGGTGGCCGGGTGCTGCTGAGCTCACTTAAGAGGTGCCTGCCACCTGTACAAAGTGTA